ATGTGTGTGGTGTGGGGGGGGGCATTTTCAGACTTTCCTCGTCACGGGCGTAATCTGAAACCCCTAATTAAGAGTGCAGTAGGCAGTAGGCTAGGGTGACCAAACGTCCAGGGATTGTCCCGTTTTTTCACGATCGTATCCGTTGTCCCGAAATGTCCCGTTTTTAAAACCAAACACATTATTAAATCACTAAAACGTCATAATTTAGAATATAAATCCAAGTAATATTTTGTTTCGCTGTGTAGCCAGTGCCAGTAGTGATGTGGGCTTGCGGGATGCCCGCACTGTTCCCCCTCCACACCTCTCTGCCGTCGCTGCGTAAACGAGTGTCCCTGCCATAGATCTTATATGTATGAATACATAAGAGATCTTATATGTATAAATAAATAAGTATTCACTGCAAAATTATTGTTTTGGTTTATGATGTGCCCCAGAGTATAAATTAAATTACAAAAGTGATCGTAAATTTAAAACCATTTCTAGGTCTAAAAATAGTTAAAATTAGCATATTTCAATAAACAGTTTCCGGCGGAGGCCCCTGGACCCCTTTTTAGCTGGAGGATATCCCCCCCTCCCCCAACCCTCCCTGGGAGTGTCCCATTTTTTCCAGTTCATGATTTGGCCACCCTACAGTAGACCCTTTAAAGTTATCAGTGGTTAAGGAATAGATTGAATAGTTATAGTAGTAATAGTAATATCACGCCCCCAATCTACCTTTTGCCATGAATTATTTAGCCCCCCCCCCCTCAGTATAATATCTAGCGCCCTAACTTTGGTTTAGTTAGGAAATGTGCTCACTTTTCCAAATCTGTGATGAAATCGTGAAATTCAACAACTCGTGTAGCCTAACTCTATTGCCACGTATGTCGTATCTCAGTACGGATGACGTATACAAGTGACAGTCATTTAGGGATGAGTCATTGGCAGGTAAAAAAAAAAGGTATGAAAATTGTATGAATATTGTCTTTTAGCATAGTTAATGATAGTTAATCACAAAACTAGTCACGAGCCAAATGTTGTAACCAGGGATTTTAAGCGGACATCGGAGCTGGTGCAGGGTCTTATTATAACATTTTAAATATTGCCAGGAGCTGGAGCTGGTAACATTTCTAACTGCTTTGAGCTACACAAATTTTAATCAATTAATTTTAAAATTAAAAATAATAAAATCATCATTTTAATTTTTTTTTAAATTTTTTTTTTTATTTATTAAAATGAATTTTCCACTCTACTAATACTAATACCAATACCAGGACCATGGGCGTTACCCCACTCTTCTACTTCTATAGTCTATAGCTTTCTTATCCGATTTATCAATTGTCAATGTCAAGTCAACCAGCTATTATTTTTGTACTCACACTGGCACTCGCATTTCTAATGTCTAGACAATAAGATGAGCCTTAAGCGGGACAGACAAAAATTTATCCAGAGCAGAGCTCTGCCAAAAAAAAGTCTGCTCCAAATCCTTAGTTATAGTTGTAACTAAAAGTACATTCTTTAAATAAATAAGCAAAGGGAGACTAGTGTTTAAAAAAATGCAAATTAGATTATTTCTCTTTTCTTGCTCAGACGACTATGAGCGTTGTTTGCATTTTTGATGGTGGGGGGGGGGGATACAAAAGTAAGGGGACTTTGATATAATACTAAAATTTTTCACAAGTTTTTAAAATTTAATTTCTGATCAGCAATCAAGTCCAAATAAAATTGTTTTCCCCTTCTCCTGCACCTACCAGCCTTAAATATAGTTTATTGATCTTCTTTCATAAAGAGTATCGCCCGGATGTTTGTAAACACTAAATGAGAGCTAAAAATAGCTTAGCCTACTCTCATTTTTATGATACTGAGTACAAGAATCGCATCAGTATTTTGTCGCGTTCGAATTATATTCATCTACCTCAGACAGCCATTTCGGTAGGAATTTTTGTATTTTAACACTATGATGTATATTTCGATTATTTATTCTTAGCAAATTGATCTAGAAATCATTAACCTCTGTACATTTTTTGCATAATAAACGAGTGACTCAGTGACTAGTCCAACAAATACAATATAACTTTAACAGTCGATAGATATATAAAGAATAATAATATAGATTATAGAATAAAGAAGTTGAGCTAGACCTACCTAACCTAGCTACCAGAGTAATTCTAAACAATAACTGTATTTAGGTGAGAAGAAGAACTATCTACTATTTCCATTCTTTACTTAAGTGTTTCCATGTACTCTTCAATATTTACGTTTTTGTTCAGTCCTTAAAACTTTTAATTAACATTGTTAACATGTTGTCCTTGTGTTTATCTTATGACTATGACAGTTATAAATTAGTGACAGTGTGAGTACTGTGACTCACTGGAGTGTGAGAGTCATACTCTTTCTTAGTCTAATTAGATTAACTTGGGTTATAAAATGCATATATTAAAAACACTAGTTAATCTAAGTTTCACTCAGTCTTATTGAAGTGTAAAAATTAAAAACTCCTTTGCCCACTGATTTAATTTTTAATTTAACATTCATTTTGTGCCAAGTCTAAAATAAAGTTAAATGAAATAGTGGCTGTAAGTAAAAGACTTAAAAAAGAAGTTGTCCTTTTTCATAAGTCTAAGTTGAAGTGAAATAAGAGCACAACTCAAAAGTCCTATCATTTTTCACTATTCTTGAGTAGATTAGGACTTGCTTCAATCGAAGTTATAAAATTTACAGGAAATATAAAAATAGTAGGTCTACAACCTTTGGGACTTTTTGAACTACAAAATTTAAAAAAAAAATAGTGATATCTACAGTATTTCCTAAGGCTAAGGTTTCTTTACGTCATTGTCTTGCCATTTATATGTTCAATATAAAAAAAGAACATAAGTAGTCTTGATCTAACAAACTAATTTTTGTTGTGACATTCCACTGACTGATATCAGTAAAATTATAGTGAAAACTGGGGTAAGAAATTAAATAAACATAAATGCCATAAGTAAGAATTCTGTAGATTTTAAAAACATTTTCATATTTGTAGCATTTGAAAGCAAAATGAATAAAATGTCTGATAAAGTACACAAGGCTGTGTATTTTATATCTGAAATTTATAAGTAACATCAATTTGGCTTCAAAAGACCAAGCAAGGCTGATTATCATCAAGCAGCTTTTTCAGCAAGTGAAAGTTGAATGCTGTTGTTCAGCATTACTGCTTGCCATACTTCTGCAAGATATCCGTTTCACACCTCCTTGACTTATTTAACTGTCAGTTTGACAGCAAGACACGTTGGAAAGTTCTTCAGCTCAGCTTTCTGTCAATGTTGTTGATGCTGGCCTCCTTTATATCTTACTTTTACTCAATCTTGAAGCAAAGGTGTGCTTGTAAAATATGGCTTTGTGATTGCAGCCTTGTTACATTGTCTTTATGGGACTGAGTCAATGAAGGCACCTCTTGCTGAGAGAGTACAACATGCTGCACATGTTGGCATGTTCAGGATCTCTTAGTTCTGGAATATTAGTAATGCTACCAGTACTGACGTCTCAGAATATGCTGCAGACATCTAAGTAAGTGTGTTTGAGTTCCAGCTTGTGGCTTGTGTAGGTGGTCCACACCTCTCTGCCATCCACACCTCACTGCTGTACAGATGTATAGTGTGGTTCCAAACCCAAATTTAGTCACAGCTGCTCATTTTGTTTAGTGATCCTTCCTTTGGCAATTTTACCCTTCAAATTCTTAATAGCAGGTGAGCATGAGACGGGTGCAAGGTAAAAGAAGTACTCAACAAACTGCCAGGTTTCAGCCCTTGTAGATGTCCGTGGGGGGGAATCTGATTTTTTCACATGGTCATTTGTCTTTTTCATATTGATTGATCTGTTGAAACTTCCTAAAGGTATGAGAGAGATGGTTTTCAAAGTTCTAGTGGGATGTTAAAGTTGTATCAATTGGGAACATCAGTTTACTGATGAGAAAATTAGTGATGTATCCTTAGCAGGTTGATGGATGGTGTTCCGATTGAACCTGTTGTGGATTTACACTATCATGTTGCACTCTATGAAAGTATACTGGAGGATCATGGAGATAAAAAAAAAAATGCTAAGAGCGTAGGTTTAAGAACATAGCCTTGCTTCACTTCACTTCTATGCATCATGGATGTCCTTGTCGAATGAAATTTTATCAGCAATTTGCAGTTGTGGGGGGGGGGGGACGGGGACAGTTTGCTGCCAGCCTTAAAAATGCTAAGAGCGTAGGTTTAAGAACATAGCCTTGCTTCACTTCACTTCTATGCATCATGGATGTCCTTGTTGAATGAAATTTTATCAGCAATTTGCAGTTGTGGGGGGGGGGGACGGGGACAGTTTGCTGCCAGCCTTAACAGTCCACTCCAGCCAACGAAGTAAATGCCCTCAAGTTTTTGAAAGCATTATAGAGGGCATTTGCTGTAATTCTTATTTGTTCTCGCTTTTAGCTATTTATGTACTGTATAATAAAAATGACAAAAGTCTGCAGAGAGTATCAATTATAGAGTATCAATCAGAGAGTATCAATCAGAGAGTATCAATCAGACAGTATCAATTAGAGAGTATCAATCAGAGAGTATCAATCAGAGAGTATCAATCAGAGAGTATCAATCAGAGAGTATCAATCAGAGAGTATCAATTATTGTGTTGTTAACCCAGCCTCCTCTAACCATATTTTAGCTTGGAATTGTGTCCAGCAAGGAAAGATCACTCTCTCTCTTTTTAGATAAGAGCTACTCATGGGGACTATTGCTGGGCACTGCATATAGGTTTCTACTTGCTGAAACTTTCTAGTGTGTTAAGAAGAATACATGAATAACCTTAATCTACACAGCTCCCACCCTAACATGAAGTTGGTCTCCCTTATAGAGAGATTCTTCGGTTGCTTCCTGCATTATTCTGTAGATTGCAAAGCAGTTGGGAAGAAGGATCTGTCTATTTTATCTTTGCATTTCAAGTTAAGTATTTTTTTAGAACTATATACAAGAAATAGGTTTGCTTAACAAGTTATAATAAAGTGCCTTGTTGCATTTTTGATTCTGCTTAGGTATCTTCACAAAAAGGACCACAACTCTGCTGTTTAACATCTTCTGATCGTACCATCCTCCAAACAGAGTGTCAGCACAGTGTGTCTTTTGTGGCCAGGAGGAGTTCAACATTTAAAATGTTTGGTTTTTATTAAGGGAGCTTAACCTACTTGTGCCTATAGTGATTTACCCATCTTAAATATCCTTCTTAAAGGTAAGCGTAATCAAAGTTAAAATTAAATCTCTCTATTAGGTAAGTAGATAAGTCAATTCATGTATAGAATGCTCTTGTTGGGACTTCACACTCACACATAAAAAAGGTTTCATTATTTAAAAAAACATTAATTTCCTTAGTTTCTAAAGTGGTTACAAACAAAACAAGACACCCCAATTTAATGACATTTTTAAAATGCATTTTACAAAATTATTTCATCTGTGCAGGAAGTCAGGACCTCTTCCTTAAGTTTGAAAGTTTTAGAACATATATTTTATCCAAAATAAAATTACTGGCATATTCCATTTTTCAAAATCAAGAAAGTCACAAAGATTTAGTTGAAGGGCCCAGGCTAGTTACTGCACTAAAATGGTAACTGATTGTTTGTGGTGGGCTAGTTGAAGGGCCCAGACTAGTTATTACACTAAAATGGTAACTGATTGTTTGTGGTGGGCTAGTTGAAGGGCCCAGACTAGTTATTGCATTAAAATGGTAACTGATTGTTTGTGGTGCGCTAGTTGAAGGGCCCAGACTAGTTATTGCATTAAAATGGTAACTGATTGTTTGTGGTGCGCTAGTTGAAGGGCCCAGACTAGTTATTGCATTAAAATGGTAACTGATTGTTTGTGGTGGGCTAGTTGAAGGGCCCAGACTAGTTATTGCATTAAAATGGTAACTGATTGTTTGTGGTGGGCTAGTTGAAGGGCCCAGACTAGTTATTGCATTAAAATGGTAACTGATTGTTTGTGGTGCGCTAGTTGAAGGGTCCAGACTAGTTATTGCATTAAAATGGTAACTGATTGTTTGTGGTTGTAGAAAACATTTACTTTATTATCAACCTCTCATTCCACTGCTACACTACATTACAACTTTAATAATAAACTCTGTTTTATTTCATCATCAGAGCTAATTAAATGAGAGTAAAACCAGTGGCGTAGCTAGTTTTAATGCCGCTCGGGGCGGGCAAAGATTTTTGCCGCAGCGACCATGAAAAAACCTTGTAGTTCGACGAAAATGCCCCCCCTCAGTATATAGAAGAAAAGTGCCGCCCGGGGCGGACGGCCCCTGTCGCCCCATTATGCTACGCCACTGAGTAAAACTATCTGAACTGGTCAAGTTAGCATCACAACTTTTTATCATAAACAAGCAGTAAACAAGTTTTGTAAATCTTTCTCGAGTTATGTCCCATGAGAACAATGTAAGATCTTAACTTTTGGTTATAAATTACTTGGCTGACTACTCTTTTTAAAATTTGTCAAGCTTTATTTACAAACACAGCTGTGCACATCAATACTGGCCAGCTGCAGCCTGGACAATTCATGCAGATAAGAATTCAGGCACATGTTGTATTACGCAGTTTCTTTTTTTTTTTTCTTTTTTTTTTTCCGATGTAGAAAATTTCGTCTGTTGTGTACATAATATTGTTTTCACCAAACCAAATAGGTCAAAGTTCCTATTTGATAAGGAAATATAAAGTTCAAAAATTCATTGTAGGTTTAATTGAAAATGAATTTGATAATACTATTTTAACATTTGAGTTCTTACAGTCGACCAGGAATTGTTAATTTTGATTATCCTCATTTTATTGAATTTGAAATTTAAAAAAAATGGTTTCAGTGCAGCTGTCAGGTTGGGAAGGCTCTATTGTTATGACATTTCCATGGTGTACTAGTGTTATGACAGCTCTACTGTGTACTAGTGTTATGACATCTCTACTGTATACTAGTGTTATGACATCTCTACTGTGTACTAGTGTTATGACATCTCTACTGTATACTAGTGTTATGACATCTCTACTGTGTACTAGTGTTATGACATCTACTGTATACTAGTGTTATGACATCTCTACTGTGTACTAGTGTTATGATATCTCTACTGTATACTATTGTTATGACATCTCTAAAGGGTACTATTGTTATGACATCTCTACTGTGTACTATTGTTATTACATCTCTACTGAAGTTAAGATTTTATTGCAAGCCATTCTATCTGTTCAAAGTAAAAGACATATTTTTTTCCACAAGATAGTTCTATGCTTCATCAGGGCAAAGATTAAATTTAAAAGTAATTTCTAACAACTTGACCCCTTAATGTAAATGAGAAGTTTCAATTTTTAATGTACTGAAGTCTGAGAATGAAATTTTTAAAATGACTTTATTTAAATTCGGTTTTCCACCTGTTTTGAGAGCTACTAATGACATTACATCTACCTGCTATTGATAACATTCAAATGAGGGACTATTTTAACTTATTTCAAAGGTCTCATAAAGTAAAAGGCTAAAAAAATTGTTGGCATGAAAAAAAAATCAATTAATTCAAAAAACTGTTTGGCTGCAACTGTTAACTTTAAGAGAAAACGACTTATTTGTATTACATAGTTCCAAAGATTGCATTTATATTTTAGATAAAATTGTTTTTTAATAATTAGTCGCTTTGTGCCAGTATTGGCAACATTAGTATCATAGAGGCTCACAGCACAGAGCAGGGTCACAGCACAGAGCAGGGTCACAGCACAGAGCAGGGTCACAGAGTAGGGTCACAGCGTAGGGTCACAGAGCAGGGTCACAGAGTATGGTCAAAGCACTGAGCAGGGTCACAGACCAGGGTCACAGAGTAGGGTCACAGCACAGAGCAGGGTCACAGCACAGAGCAGGGTCACAGCACAGAGCAGGGTTACAGCACAGAGGAGGGTCACAGCACAGAGCAGGGTCACAGAGCAGGATCACAGAGCAGGGTCTCAGAGTAGGGTCACAGAGCAGGGTCAAAGCACAGAGCAGGGTCACAGACCAGGGTTACAGAGTAGGGTCACAGAGTAGGGTCACAGAACAAGGTCACAGAACAGGGTCAGAGAGCAGGGTCAGAGAACAGGNCGTAGGGTCACAGAGCAGAGTCACAGAGTATGGTCAAAGCACTGAGCAGGGTCACAGACCAGGGTCACAGAGTAGGGTCACAGCACAGAGCAGGGTCACAGCACAGAGCAGGGTCACAGCACAGAGCAGGGTTACAGCACAGAGGAGGGTCACAGCACAGAGCAGGGTCACAGAGCAGGATCACAGAGCAGGGTCTCAGAGTAGGGTCACAGAGCAGGGTCAAAGCACAGAGCAGGGTCACAGACCAGGGTTACAGAGTAGGGTCACAGAGTAGGGTCACAGAACAAGGTCACAGAACAGGGTCAGAGAGCAGGGTCAGAGAACAGGGTTACAGAGCAGTGTCACAGCGCAGGGTCGCAGAATAGGATAACAGCATAGAAAAGGGTAACAGCATAGAGCAGGGTAACAGAACAGAGTCACAGAATGTGGTAACAGCATTTAATTACACAGAACATAGTGACAGAAAAGAACTGTTTTTTCCAATGTTTCTGCGCAAATATTTAAAAAAATCTTTGCACATTCTTATATAAAATGTTCCCTGTTCATATCGTCCTTTAAACTCCTAGAAAGTAACTAATGGTGTGCTGAGCTGTGAATCAGATCCCTAGAAAGTAAAGTAACCATTGGTGTGCTGAGCTGTGAATCAGATCCCTAGAAAGTAACCAATGGTGTGCTGAGCTGTGAATCAGATCCCTAGAAAGTAAAGTAACCATTGGTGTGCTGAGCTGTGAATCAGATCCCTAGAAAGTAACCAATGGTGTGATGAGCTGTGAATCAGATCCCTAGAAAGTAACCAATGGTGTGCTGAGCTGTGAATCAGATCCCTAGAAAGTAACCAATGGTGTGCTGAGCTGTGAATCAGATCCCTAGAAAGTAACCAATGGTGTGCTGAGCTGTGAATCAGATCCCTAGAAAGTAACCAATGGTGTGCTGAGCTGTGAATCAGATCCCTAGAAAGTAACCAATGGTGTGCTGAGCTGTGAATCAGATCCCTAGAAAGTAACCAATGGTGTGCTGAGCTGTGAATCAGATCCCTAGAAAGTAACCAATGGTGTGCTGAGCTGTGAATCAGATCCCTAGAAAGTAACCAATGGTGTGCTGAGCTGTGAATCAGATCCCTAGAAAGTAACCAATGGTGTGCTGAGCTGTGAATCAGATCCCTAGAAAGTAACCAATGGTGTGCTGAGCTGTGAATCAGATCCCTAGAAAGTAACCAATGGTGTGCTGAGCTGTGAATCAGATCCCTAGAAAGTAACCAATGGTGTGCTGAGCTGTGAATCAGATCCCTAGAAAGTAACCAATGGTGTGCTGAGCTGTGAATCAGATCCCTAGAAAGTAACCAATGGTGTGCTGAGCTGTGAATCAGATCCCTAGAAAGTAACCAATGGTGTGCTGAGCTGTGAATCAGATCCCTAGAAAGTAACCAATGGTGTGCTGAGCTGTGAATCAGATCCCTAGAAAGTAACCAATGGTGTGCTGAGCTGTGAATCAGATCCCTAGAAAGTAACCAATGGTGTGCTGAGCTGTGAATCAGATCCCTAGAAAGTAACCAATGGTGTGCTGAGCTGTGAATCAGATCCCTAGAAAGTAACCAATGGTGTGCTGAGCTGTGAATCAGATCCCTAGAAAGTAACCAATGGTGTGCTGAGCTGTGAATCAGATCCCTAGAAAGTAACCAATGGTGTGCTGAGCTGTGAATCAGATCCCTAGAAAGTAACCAATGGTGTGCTGAGCTGTGAATCAGATCCCTAGAAAGTAACCAATGGTGTGCTGAGCTGTGAATCAGATCCCTAGAAAGTAACCAATGGTGTGTTGAGCTGTGAATCTTAAGCTGCGTAAAACACTAAATACTACAGAAATATTTGTAATAGTTGCAGGAGTTGAAAAACTGAACTTAAATAAGAAAACCTTAAGTACCCGGTAGTCAGTGGCGACGTCATCAAATTTAACATGGCGGGTCCCTTGCAGGCTTTAAAAAAATTTGGCGGGTCCCAAATAAAGGTATTAAAATTAAAATTTATTTATTAAGTAATATTTATTAATCTACTAACTTAACCCAAAGCTTACATACATTGTCAATTGTCATAATAAATTTATTTGAATGTATCATTATTTGTAAGGTCAATCACGTTTATCTAGAGAATCCACACTCGTGACACTCCACACTATTGACCCATTGACTTCAGGCACACTGACACAGGACAGGCCAAATTCATTTCAAAATAATTCTACAGTTAGGATACATTTCCAGGAATTTGTCCACTATACGTTCCAAATCCAGTTTCTTAGCCCTCTGTGAAATTATCGATATTACAGCAATATTTGACAAGCGCTCGTCAGTAAAATTTACCAGGTCATTTGCCAGGTCCCAAGTTTTTTTACCAGGTCCTGGGACCCGGCGGGACCTGGTGTAGCGTCGCCACTGCCGGTAGTAGATACCTGAAGTACCCAGTAGTAGATACCTGAAGTACCCGGTAGTAGATACCTGAAGAACCCGGTAGTAGATAACTGAAGTACCCAGCAGTAGATACCTGAAGTACCCAGTAGTAGATAGCTGAAGTACCCAGTAGTAGATACCTGAAGCACCCAGTAGTAGATACCTGAAGTACCCAGTAGTAGATACCAGAATAAACAATACTTTTCTTGTTTATCTACGTAATTGACATGATCAAGATGTAAATATTTAAATCTAAGTATTGTTCTTTTAAACAACTTCTCTTTAATTCTTCTGTTACCGTACATTAGAAGTGCCACAGAAAATTAAAGATGCTTGGAGATAGCTTCCGAATAGTAACAATAATATTTGTACTTGTAGCTGCCACACCCTTTGATGCAACATGGGATACATGCGTGTCGAAAAACAAACAGATTCTCAGCTTCGTCTTCTCAGGGAGCCCACCTTTCTCTCTAAAGCAGTTTTTGTAGGTAAGTCACGGAGCCCACCTTCTCCCCAAAGCAGTTTTTGTAGATAGGAGTGATTATAATGATCTCCCATTGAACCTTTGTCCTTCTTTACGTTTTTGTCTTGATTTTTACCCACATCTTTTGGGCCAGAAATTCTCCATCTATTCTCAAATCCATCTCACATAACATCATCACCTTCCCTCACATTATGTGCATCAATTTCAATTTCCCTTACATCATGATCCCCTCAAATATTTGTACACCACACCACATCATCCCCTTTCCTCACAACATGAACATCACCTCACATCATCCACCTTCCATCACATCCTCTAACATCACCTCACATTATCCACCTCGTTAAACTAACAAAACTGACCAATCGCCACTGATGCAACTATTTTTCACTTGTTTTAAGAATTTATCACCATTACATTTAGCACAGAATAGAAATGTACCTATGTTCAAAATTTATTTAATTTACATTATCATTTTATGTACATTATTTTTTTTTTCCTCTTCAGGTTTTTTTGTTGGCATCATTGGTATATTTTTATTTGGATCAGGTCAGTAATTTTTTTAAACAGTTAACTCATGTAATTTATACTGCTTTGTTTTGTAGAACATGCACTCTCCCACACTTGATGAAACCATCTATAGTCACAATGCTAACTTCAGAGGACATGTACTCTCCTACACTTGATTAAACCATCTTTAGTCCCAATGTTAACTTCAGAGGAAAAGTGACTCCATTTTATCTGAATGAATGAAATTGAATCCATGGAAAAAACAAATTTACTGTAGCACACATTTTTGTTCAATGATTTATGATTTAATTTAAACAGCTCGTCTTGTATTTAAATTTGATGTTGAAGATTACTAAAAAAAAAACCAACATTTTTTCCTTAGTTGTAACAGATTAAGTTAGTATAGTGTGTAATATTATCATGTGTGTAGTCCAATGTGGAATATAGCCATTGTGGTAGTTGAGTAGGGAATATTGTTGGGTGTTGTCTAGTGTGGAATATTATCATCTGTGTAAATAAATGACATTTGATGCAATCATGTTTTTTTGTGTGTCTGCAGAGTCATTCATATTCAAGGTCTTAATAGGACTGTGTGCTGCTGGTCTGAGCTGTTTGATTGTTGATAACTATGAGGTTTGTATGACTGTATGTTTTATATTATTTGATTGCTGACAATGAGGTTTGTATGACTGTATATTTTATATTATTTGATTGCTGACAATGAGGTTTGTATGACTGTATATTTTATATTACTTGATTGCTGACAATGAGGTTTGTGTACTTAATGTTTTTGTTTTTTGGGCAATGAACAATAAAGCTAAACTAAAATAGTTCTCATCCTAGTCATCCGTAAACGGCTGTTCAATTTTTATTTCATTGTTCTAGTCCACTGAAAATATTTTTACAAACTCTTTTAATCTAGATTATGTATTTAATAAACTTTACTTATTGAATATAGATTATTTATTGAATAAATCTTTAAAATTTAAAGTGAAAAGCAAAATTTAAAAAAAAGTTTTTAGAATAAAAAACCATTTATGTTATTACAGAAATAATAAATAATGAATATCTACCATTCTTGATGTGGTCTTGCATATGATTTCTAACATTTACTCATAAATATTTGTTCACAGATTTGTGAATTTGACAAAAGTAGGTCAGAGGTCAGGATGACCCGTCTACACTGGTGCCAGTACATGTTGAATGCACTTATCTCCCTTGGATCACCACCCTATGGTTGGTCACTAATAAGAAATGCTTTTTAAATAATCTCTTTCTAATTGATTTTAATATCAACTGTTCATATAGGTCATTGATATTACAGCAGTTCACATAAAGGTCATTGATTTTAATATCAGCAGTTCACATATACAAATAAAATTGCGCTGAACGAAGCATTATTTTCATATGATTTATGAGATGATGAAACAAAGAACTTTAAAAAAATCATAAAAAAGATTTGTATTGACTTACACGAGCGAGCCTGATCATAAGGAATATTTTACAATAAAATTAGTCTTTTTAAGCTGTTAGCAAAGTGTAAGCTGCAGATGACTTCCTAAATGTCTTTTTATCTGAAATTGTTTTACTCTGTAGTGAAAGCCAAATTGGAAGATATTAAAGATGTTCGTGTGGAGGAACAAGGGGGGCCAACTGGCGGGAGAGCCTATCAAGTCATTCTTTCGATGGACACGGGAATCCAGTTGGGAGTTACAGAAGTTTTTACAACAGACGATATTAGGTACTTTCGGGTACTTTCTGACCCAATGGCTTCATTACCATCTACTAAACATGTCCAATGCCAGCATTTAATAATAGTATGAAGTGGAGAAATACAGCTTGAAATATTGGATTGTTCTGTCAAAGAACAAACATATTTCATAATTTTTTCTTTGAAGTCCATTGTTTAAAATATTTATTATTCAAAATAATTTAAAGACATGAATTAAAATGGCGAGACCTAAAATATTTATTATTCAAAATAATTTAAAGACATGAATTAAAATGGCGAGACCGAAAGGAATTTTAATTATTTCCTTTTCGTTAGGACTTGACAAATTTATAGTCAAATTAATCCATATAAGCTTCAGTTATTTTTAATTATTACTGGTATATATAATTGACATATGTTTGATCACCTCTTTATTTGTCAGTGAACACGAAGGTATTGCTAACTTGATTCGTTCCTTTCTTGGTGATATCCCACCTCTTGGCATTATTGACGAGGCTGATGATGAACAAGAAGAAGTAAGCTCATCGGAGGATGATTTTGAGCAAATCTCGCAAGCAGACCTCGCCGGTATAGATGAGGATGTGGCACAAGGTGCCGGTGATGCTGCACCGGTGGATGCTTGCGAGGACAAGGATGAGGAGATCCCTGCCGAGCCAGAGTGTGAGAATGAAGCTGTCTTGGAAACGACCAGTTGAGGGGTTCAAATCATTAGGATTATTTCAGTAGTATTGACTTGGCCTCGGTTCCCGGTGGTATAACTAGCTCACCACACTATGAGATTTTATGGATCAGAAACATTTCTAAAGAAACAAAACATTGGATAGGATCAACGTTTAGAAGATTTTTTTTTTAAAAATGGAAGAAAGAAAAGAAATAAAAATTACAACTTGAATAAGTCCTCAGAGCTGACTTGCTTTTGCTGCTGAGATAAAAATAAACAATCTCATCTTTAAGAAATCTCACACTTTTAGGCTCTATTGCCTTTGCATTAATGTGAAAATCCAAATTTTCAGAAAATGTTAGTGCTATAATGTCATCCACACATTTTTTTTATCTTATGGTTTCATTTAACTGGTATAGTTAATTGTATTTTTTTAAATGCAGGAAATCAATACTAAAAAAAATTGCTGTTTAGCTATCATTATTACATGTGAATTGAGCAATAATTCATTTGAAGACTAGTTATTTCCCTGGAAGCACCTGAATTTTTGGCGAAGTGAATAATTTTGCCGTTGAAGGATTGTGATCAAAATTTAGAGTGTGTAATTGTGGTTCTTCACTCCAATGACTCACTTTGAAAAATTATGTGAATTTTAACCCCCAAAAATTTTAAAAAATTCAAAGTACCTTGTCTTTGCTGGACATGCCTCTAGATTGTAATATCAGGGACATAACTATATTCTTCAAGATGAAATTGGCAGTGGTCACTTTCTGCTTTATTATTTATGTTATTCAGAAAATTAAGTTATAGTTTTCTATAAAAAAAACAACATCCAAATATAAGATTTTTCAAAGTTGAATGGTAAAGTAGGTTTATGAAGGCAGACAATTAATTCATTGATTTATTTTCTCCACTGTTATTATAAGCAAAATGTGTTTTTCTCTTGAAGTTACTTTGTTTGTCTTTTAAACTTAATGTCTGTATCTCCCTATCTTAGCACGGCTGCCACTTTATTAGATTCTGGTGGCCTCCCTTGCACATCATAGCCCTTGTCTTGTGCTTCTTTCATCCGCCGCACATTGCAACCCATTGGTCATCATTTCTTTTGCAATAAATTGGCTTTTGTCCGCATTGGTTCACCTTGGTAGTGTTAATCTCTCCATTAGCTTAGATCTCACACAAGGCAGCTGGTGATAGAGGGCCAAAGTCCTTTGACCTTTTGGGCTGCAACAATAAAATGGCCACCTTATTCTATATGTGCAGGAATGGATTGGATTGACTTGATGGCCTAACAGTATACTAGTAACATTGCCTTATGATGAAAACAATGAGGGTACATTCAAAGAATTTGTCTATTTAAATCTGTGAGGTCTGCATGCAAACATTCTCCAGGTCTGTACAAATAGTGGCAAGCACGAGGAATTTATTTGAAGGTTAACTTTGTTAAGCACTGCCAATCTGTAAATGGTCATCTAAAATGACCATAACTGGTTCAGTGTGCTGTTGTGTTTCTTCTTTTTTCTCTAGAAACCCAAAACACTTGAAACCTGAACTTGAAACTTTTATTAAGTGGATTTGACCTTTTTTTTTTAAAAAGTGCTTGAATGTAATTATATTGCTGTTGATTTAATCAACCTTTTCATGTTTACAACTACTGTGGTCATTTTTATTTTTCTTAAAAATTGACATTTTAATATTCCTAGTGCAGTTGTGACCATAACAACAGCTGACGACCCAACTGCAGTGTCTAATAATTTTAGAAAATATGTTTAGTAGTTGAAACAAAACGAGAAAAAAATTCTCCAGTAGATTGATGTCAAACCCAAATCTGATATAGTTAAAAGTAAGTTGTACTGTAAATATCTAGTATGGCCTATCAAAGTTGTAAGAATTCATCTGAGCAGTTTCTTTTCAGTTCTGTTGCCCTGTCTGTCAAACAATGTACATGGAAATAAAATTGCAGAATAACTCATGGCTAATTTGACTTAATTTTTTTCAGTTGTTATTAATCATCAGCTCAACAGTTGTTCTCTCGCCCCCCCCCCCCCCCCCCCCCCCCATTGATTCTGATGATTGATATTTTGATTGATATTTTCTCCATTAGTTTTACTCTTCAAACTATGGGTTTAAAAGAAAATAAAAACATATAATTTATAGTTTTGTTGTTTAAATTTGAGAAAAGTATACAATTGATAATTTAAAAAAAAAAAAAATTAAATAAATTATAAATGGATAACATATTCAACAAAAAAAAAGAGCAGTAACTAGTACCCATATTCTCTCCACACCTGAAAACAAACAAAACATTACAATTTTTTACAAATTGATTATATACTATATATATTAAAAAACTTCTTTGTTGACAACAGAATTTTACAAATTATCTTTTTTCGTTTCACTTATAATTTATTAGTTTATGGTTGAAAAGTTTTTTTTAGTTGACATATAAATTTACTGAGTATGGTCATTTCAATATGTTGATGTATTTACAGCCTCACAGGTGGACTAACATTCAACATATTGTTTTTAACCAGTAGATTATGTTTTGGTTTTATTTCCACCAATTTTTAATTATTACTGGAGGAATTTTTAAGGAAATGCTTTTAGCTATTTGATTCCTGGTAATGTGAATTTCCTGGTAATGTGAATTTCCTGGTAATGTTGAATGTATGCTTAAAACTTTGGATATGGTTTTGAATTAGTATTTAGAATCTTTCTTTTTTTCGTTGTTGTTAATAATGAATGCAGTACTTAATTTTGTTTGTTAGATTTTGTTTGTATCACCTCCCCTTGCCCCAATTTTTTTAAAAACATGTTTACCAGTTTTTTAAAATCAATTAATTTCTCTATTAGGGAATACCATAAGAAATGTTACTGTTGCTCAATTTGAAATTTAAAAAAACCCACCTCAAATATGATTATTATTGAAATTAATTTGGATGAATCAAAATATTTGTATTGTACAAGCACAAAAATAGCAATTTAAATAAATACAAAATGAGGTAAAATAAAAAAAAAAACTATGACAGTGAAACTTTTTAAGAATGATTATGGCTTTAAGTTTTATTTTATTATTTTGAAAACTATCTACCTGTACTTTCATTTTTGAAAACAGTTCTTAAATTATTGATGAGCTGGGGTAAAAATTGATTTCTAGCCAAGAATCTGCCATATTAGCTGGGGTTGCCTCCACATAACCAAGACATTTTTGGTCTTTATTTGTACTCACTGTTGTTGGTTCTTGTGAATTTAATCATGTGTATATTTTTTATCATCAAATAAATAAAGTTTGCAACAAATTATCTTGAAATTTTTTTTTTTTTTTAACATTGAAAATTGATGCAACCCAAAAAAATGGTGTCTTGTCTTTTAGTTTCTGGGATGTCATCCAATGAGGTAACTATTCTATCTAATAGACAGCACCCATCTACTCCCCACACACGAACCACTGATACAAGAGTACTGGAGTTTTGAGTCTTAGAGAGATTTTCAAACCAATTAAAAGAACTTCTAACATATTAACTAGAAGGTGGTATTTACTAGAATTTATTGGTACAAATTTGTCACGTTATAAAATAGAAAATTTAGTGATATGTGGAAGAGAAATAATCATATATATATGGAGTCTTTATCACAGTGTTGTTTCACCAGAGCTTTTTACCACACTGTGCATGTGTGTTTGGGAGCCATAGGTGAGTCAGTCGGACAGTTGAACGTTTCAGAAAAGTCACCAGAGTTTTGCAGTGGACCTAATACTCTGTGGTAAGAAGTGATGGATGTCATGAGCTTTTTAATATAGGATAATTTCATTTGATGATTTTATAGAATGATCTTATAAAAGATTCTAGATGAGACTTATTTGGGATAACCAATTAAGAATAAATAAATGAAACAGAAACCTGACGCGTGCAGGGCTCCAATAACTTGTAGAAATTTGTTGAAGTAGTTCTGTCCTCTCAATTAAAGTACAGAAAGTCTAGAAAACAAAACCAAAAAAATGTCACCATTTTAGGAGACTTGAGATCTCATGTAAGGTGAAGTAGCAATAACCTCTTGAAATACAAATACAAGCGAATAATATGCCCTCAAAGTCAATTCGGTCAAAGCCCAATCTACAAGGCACACCGCAAGAAATAATAAGTAATGAATCAGTCTTACATACATTATTTTCTGTCTCATTTCTGGACACATTTTCTCATAATTTTTTCCCTCATATTTTAAATGTTTATTTTTAAATTTTGTGTTGTTAATTATTTCTAACCTGTGCATAATTTATATAGAACAACTGATTTTGTGTGTAATTGAGACCTGGAAGAGTTGCCTCCTGCTGTCCAGAAGACTTCTGCCAATCTTGATAAGCCTAGACATTTTGATCAAATAATTGTCAAATTATAATTGTCCCATGTGAATGTCAAATAGATATTAGAAATAAGTTAAATTTATGCACAAAGAATATTTTAAAAAATCAACATTTTAAATGGCAAAACACATTTAGACAATAATAGACAACACAATTACTTTATTCAATTCTATGACAAGAATTGCTAGATGCTTTTTTCTTCTTATTAACTTCATGATTAAAATTCTTACAGACAATATAAAAAAAATCAAGTTATCTCTAATAAAACAAAGGAAGTATTTATTGTTACATCATTTAACTCACCCGGAAACTTTGTCTAATTCCAGAATTATCAGCAATATTTTCATTAAGTGTTGAAGTCCCATTCAGCTAATTTTGCGTCAGAGAAGTAAAATATGTTTATTACGTGCAAAACATTGAATACATTTTTTAAAGATAACTAGATTTGTCATTAGATATTATTTTGAAAAAAATTCAGTTTTTAAGATTTTAAAAACTGTTGGTTTTTTTTTTTTGAATGCTGAACACATCTGGGATTAAAATTTAGTAAATCATGAATGGCACAGTAAGCAAAATACGCAGTAATGTCTAATATTAGATTAGATTAGTACATCAGTACCAAAAGTTACATCACCTAAGGAAATTAGTACCTGAGGTTACATCCCATTATGAAATCAGTATCTGAAGTTACATCCCATTATGAAATCAGTAAGCTACGAGATATTAGAAGAGATTAGTACATCAATTTTTTTGTTGGTAAGATCTACTTACTGCTTTATTCACATCTTTTACATAAATTTTATTGTAGAATTCTGTTAGACATTGAGTTCTGTTTTTAAAATTGTCAGTGAAAGACTGATTCCATATCCTTCCAATTGAGCCATCTTTGTTATAATTAACTCCTGGAAGAAAATCAACATTCTTTTAAAAAGAGATTACAAAAATTCTCAAAATATATTGTTTTACATCTTTGAATCATAATATTTGTTGCATCATTTTAAATTATCAATTCATAGTGATACATAGGCAATTTTGGAAAACAAATATCTATTTAGAAAATTATATATAAATGGGTATTATTTCCAGACCAGTCACATGAGTTTTTATGCTACCCTGAATTCAAAATATTTTTCAATTTATAGCCTTCAGCCTAGCCCCTTAAATATCCAAGGCCCCTGCAGGCAGAGGCGCTGCAGCACCAATGACCAGAATCTGATTACATCAGACGAAAATAAAACTATTTTTTTAATCTTTTACTTTTAACCTTAACATAATTTTTTACGAAATGAAATAAAAATGTATTGTTTCTCCAGTTTAAACACAAGATAAGCATCATAAGAACTTGCCTACGGGATCAAATCCATGTGTTAGCTCATGACCTACGACAGTGCCAATACCCCCAAAGTTGATATAACTGTACAGGATTCAAACATTATATATATATATATATATATATAATACAGTGCCATATTGAAAGAAATGAATGTTGTGTTAATTTCATATGTTCAGTAATAAACAAAAAACCATTCTTATTATTTAAGTAAAAACAATAAATTATACAATACAGAGATTTAGTTATATAGATACTTGCTTTGGAAAATGACGGCTGAAAAATGGGGCTTGGAAAAATGCAGCAGGAAATTCTGTAAATTTGAAAACAATTATTGGTTATTTGTGCATATGTTCATGAAATCAGCATATAAGAATGTGACTTGATAATTTATAGCTGTTTTTATGATTTCAAGGCCGTAGTTCAGCAGTAAAACAATGAGATATGTAGTCTCAGAGAGAAGTGTGAACAGTTACATTATTCCTTCTAAGACAGAAATAACTTTTTTTCTTCCATCATCAAAGTTTGTTTATTTTTTGAAACACTTGCAATATAAGTTACAACTCATTTCTAATATGCTAGTATTACAGTAGGCCCCTATATGAGATCATTATTCTCTTACCAATAGAGTTCATGTCCTCTTTGTAAATAGCATTTACAATGATGGGCAAGAAAGACCACCTAAAAGACGGTAAAGAATAGGCCTATACACATGACAAAAATAATACTGTTCAAGTGATTCACAACAAACTTTATCAAGATAGGGAATAATGTGCCTCTCACAATGCTGTATTTAATTTTAAATATTCTTATGATCCTACAAATGTTTATATTTTTTAAAATTGAATTGAGCAAGTCGAGAGTGACTAAGTAATTTAACTCACGAGTCGTCTGGGTTGTTAGGAACTCGAAAAAGTCTAACCATGTTATCAAAACTTTCTTTGTTTAAAGTTACAACATTCTCTAAATATGTCTGTCTGCTGAAGGTCATCTGAAAAGTGAACAAGTTATCAACACTGTACTCTTACAGATAACCTATTAGTCAAATATGTAAACTCAATACAACAGATCTATCTCTGCCACTGTCTAAATTGGATATTTTCAAACACCAAAGTCAATCTTTTTCAGCAGTTAAACTTTCGGACAGCTTACCTATCAGTTTTAATTTCATCATTGACTCAGGGACTATTTTTTTTGTAAATTTAATGTTTACTAATTCCAATTCCAGTTTCATAAAATTAGTTTCATATGAATTATTGACAAATCTATTAATGTGTCATCCCTTTTTATTGGGTTAGTTAATTATAATATATATATATATATATATATATATATCTTTTATGTGATATACATTAACTGCTAATTAAAAGAAAAGTGAACTGGCTACATTTGAAATTTTCTTCAGATAGCAAAATAAATATTTGAAAGGATACAAAACAATTATTTTTCTAATTTAAAAAAAAAATATTTTTGCATTGTGGTGAAATCACAAAGGAGAAAAAGATATTTCACTATTCAACGTCAGGCATTTCTATTAGCTCTTCAGGGTCATATTGAGGATGGAAAAAATTGGTCCACAAATTTGCAAATTATAAATTTTTGAACGCACAGCCATCTAGCCACACACCAGATAGTTGAATTTTAAAAATGGGAAGAAAAAAAAAATCAATTTATCAACTTAAAATTCATTTTTGTAACCATCACTGGATTTGATAATTGGATTTGCTAAAAAATATAAATAATTATTACGCTATTAATGAAATGACAAGAGTTTGCTATCAATGGACTTTTATGATTTAATAGTGAAATATGTTACAACAAATTGTAAAAATACATTTATGTACTACTAATAAATAGGCCTATATTCATAACGAATTCTCAAATTAAAACTAATACCACGACCCATAGAATTTACCAAGGTCCGCGGGGCGGGGGGGGGGTCACTTCAATCGATCAGGGGTGGGGGATAGACGCCACTGATTGTAACCCATATTATTAATAAATAAAAATACCAGTAAATCATTTCCTTTAAAACTTACATTGAAGTAATAATTATCCAATGCTGTTTCATTAAATGTCTGTTCAGAATAAAAAACCTTGGTCTTCATATTTGCATTCTGAAAAACAATAAATCATAAATAATGCAATAATCATAATTATATAACACAAGGTATTTATTGATTAGCTTTACACTTAAATTAATGAGACCCAAGTTATGTAATAAATCTAGGATTATTAACTGTACTAGAATCTTTATTATTTACATTTAATGCTTATAAATCTAAAATGGTAATAAGGGGAGAAATTGGAATCAGGTTAGAAAAATGGACAAGAGTGAAAGAAAGTATGAGAATAAATGAAAACAAAGAATGCAACAAAACAAACAATGTGTCAGCAAAAAAAAACTACAGCATATGACCAATCGCAGTGGACTTATTTTTCCTCTCTTCTGTCCCTTTTTGCCCATATTTAACCTCTCACCTACTTATGATCTGTCATATTTCTCTTGCTGTCTACCTGGATTATACACTGCAGCTTAATGTTATTTTTATTTAATTCTGTTCTTACTATAATTTGTTTGCTGATGAAGGCTTCTTGCCAAAATGGTTGTT